ATTTCAATTATAGACTGTTACTGTTTACAATATCTTGGGACACAGCACATGTGTCCTGCAAGAATATTCAAAACCAAAATATTCCTTTTACTTTTTACTCCAAAACTCCAAGAGTTGAAAGTTGAGCTGCTGGCAGCCAAGAGTCCTGCATGCAGTGCAGTCAACAGCAGAAGAAAACACTTGAGGGTGTCCTGGGAATCTGTATCAGTCTGTAGGGTTGGGCTCCAGATATCTGTTTCTTTTCCATAACATTTTCTCATAACCTTGAGTGGAAGCAGGACTGCTATAAACTAAGATTGCTTCTGAGCACTTGACTGGAAGCAGTAATTTTACTGAAACACATATTTGGAAGTACACAGAATGCATAGCAATAAAGAAATAGGATGAATGGCACATGTCTGCAACTGTAAATCAATACACTTCATGGATGCCAAGACAAAATATTGCTGCCTACCTTCAGCTCATCTCTGTAGGACTGAACTTTCTTACCATAAGTCCAGTCAATAGTGCATGGTAAAAAAATCCAATTAAGTACAAAAATTAAGTAGAAATATTGAACTCTCGGTAGTCATACAGGTAAAATTCCATATGGGGGAGGATGACTGATTTAGGGCAGGGAGTGCTAATAGGTGCATTGGTAACTCATCTTCTTTACTAATGCATAAAGAAACCCAGTGTCCATGAGTGATAGGAACCAGGTTCTGGATTGGAAGGTATTCAGAAATTACAATATTGGGGTGTCTTGCTGTATTGTGAGAATTTCAACATCTGAAATCACTGCAGAAACTATACTTCTGCCTTTCCATTTACTGGCAGACCAAACACTGCATTTAGTCAAGAGATCCCTGCTTGGTGAATACAAACTGTCACTTAACACTCTCACTGCCTTTGGATGTTTAGATAGGAAAAACTCTGATGGGCTTTTACCATATTCAAATAGTGATAATTATAAACCTCTTCATCTTTGTCATACCTGTGGTACATACTGATACAGCCTAAATTCCCTTGGACCAAAAGTAGTTCTGAAGTCATAACAAAAGCCCTCAGGGAGTGGGGCTAGCCTGGCACTTAAGCCAACTGGATGTGCCTTCTCCTCTTGAGGCACTACTCCCTCCTCAGGACATCTGTGCATTTCATGGCACACAGAACCATCCACTTCCCTTGAACTCCTAGGAATATATCAAGATAAAAACAGGGATCGTTTGGATCACTAAATCATAGCTTCTTCAGATGCATCAACCATGAAATGAGCATTTATGCAGGAAGGGCTCAACATCCTCCAGCCACTACAGCCTTCAGCACTCAATAGCAAGCAAATGGCCTATCATTAAAATACAAGCTCAAAAGTCTCAATGAAGATTCCCCAGACAGTAGTCCACTGGAAAACCTTTAGCAGATCTTAAAGAAAGGTCACTGATGGAAAATAAAGTTGAAGGAATTAAATTCTGAAAGACCCAGAAGCCATCACACCTGCTCATTTAGTTCTTTTTGAAGTTCTTCTATGAGTTTTAGACACTGTGCTGGAAATAGCAGACCAAACACAGCTCTGCACACAGATTCACAACTCCATGCTTTCAAATTTTTGTGGCTATCCTCAGAGCTCTTCACAATCTTTGAATCAACCAGATGTGAACACCTGGATGGTGGTACAAGATGGGCAGAAGAAGCAGGGGCATTTGAGTGGTTATTTCCTTGCCACATGATTAACACTAGCTCCTTTTATTGTGGATTTGGAGCAATAAAGGTTCTTTTTTCCCCATTCTGCAGACTAGACAGTGGATCTGAGGAGGGCAAATCCTTCTGTCTCAAGTTCCTCATTGAGTTTGTGGAAATAACTCCAAGGCAATACTTGTGTTGGGCTATGGAGCAAGACTCACAACTCATGTCAACTTCCAGACTCCAGGACAGCACGGAAACCCTCCTACCCACCTTGTGAAACCTAATAACCCATAGTCTTGTTCTTGTTAATGCTTTCAGCCCACCCAGGCCTGCATGGCTGGTATCATGGAAGTGAAGGCACATAGTGGCCAGGGAAGAAGGAGAGGGAGAAGGGAAGTGCAATAGTTTGCTTCCCAGCACTTTGCCATGCATGCAGGAATGTGGAGTATCTTTGAGTCTGTGGTGATTGATTATGGTTCAAAACTGTTGCACAGTGTCTAGTTCTAGCCTTGAGCTGCAGATGTAGAAGCTGGCACACAGTCTACAGGACAGAAGACAGCACTAGACAACCTGTCTGAGGGTGGTGCTGCACCCCAGGGATGCCTTAAGGCAGAGCAGGTGGCTGCTCATTAATTCCAGCTCCTCAAAAAAAACCCATTCATTTGAAGGTTTATTTTTAGTATGTTGCCCTTCCAATTTGGCTGATTTGGCTAATTGGCTGTCATGATTTTCCTTCACATCTTCATTTCCAAAAACTGCTTTCAGGTGTGAAAGAAACACACAATTTTTGGTCTCTAACATTAGTACTGCAGGACAGCAAGTGGATGCAAAGAGTGAGCTACTAATTTTTCTGCCAACATTGAGAAACTTTCAAGGACAAAAACTGTTGCTAGATGGCTTATGCAACAAGGTCCATGAGATAACACAGTGTGACAGCAAACTCCTGAAGCTGAGTAGCTGGGTACTCTGAGTATATCTTTACACTTTCTAGACCAATAAATAATACTTCCTGTGCTCTACCAAACACTCTGAGTAAGGACAGGGTTCCATAGTTTTTATGTAGCTCTGAATTTGAGTTCCACATGTGTTCCCTTGCCCTTTCCCCTCAGAATAAGTGCTCACCCAAGCATTGAAGTTGGCTTGGGTGCTTCAAAATTACAGTGCCCTTGCTGTAGTTTTGCCTACCCTGTGGCTGGGCTGCAAGACTTCTGCTGTGAGATTATTGCACTGCATTTGGAACCCAAATGAAAGGTAATGTGTTTCTATGCCAGTAACCTAAAGAGAAAGACTTCAGTGTCATTCTAGAAAGTGGAGAAGGAGAGCAAACAAGTCAGCCTGGCAGGTTTGTGCAGAGTGGCTGGGCAGATGGAGAACACAGGTAAGTATAGGCAGTGTAGAGGCTGCAAGACCAGATCTTTCCCAGACCCAGGCAGAAGTAAAGGACAGTAACTAAGCACTGGGAACCACAAACAGGGAAAGTGCTGTGGCCATTTGCACCAGGTAAGGTGTGGAGCTGAAGGGATAGGACAACAAATTAGCTGAATTGGCAGAACTACAGAAGTTCAGTCAACACAAGATTTCCCCAGATGGCACACTCAGGCATTCAAGAAGGTAGAGATCCCCCAAAGGTCAGCATTGCAAGAATTGGAATTACTTCACAAGAGACAGTTTCCTAGTGGTGGCTATGGGACAAGAATCTGCTGCTTGTGCAGAGAGAATATTTGTTTTCTCAGATGGAGAGCTCTCTCCAAATGGCAGCAGCTGAGAGAAATGCAGACACCTTCAGTAGCAGTCCTCTAAAACTTATGCTCTCCTCAGGCTGTCCGAGTTTCCTAGGCAAGAGAGCAAGGATTGCAGTGCACCTTGGAGGAGCAAAGAGCATAAAGAACAGCAAGAAGCAACTTGATGCTGCCAGAAAATTCTGTTACTAGACCTGGGTACCTGTGCTTGGGAAATTTAATAAGAGTCAGCTGCTGGGCACACAGGCAGCAGGCTTTGTGCAACATCAAGATGCGGGGCTCCAGGGTCACAAATTAGTATTTTGGTCCATCTTTGTTCCATTGATGCAGGTCAATGGAAGGGGCCAAGTTTCAGCTGTCAGACAGGTAGCTGAGGATGAGGACGTGGCACTCTATGCAACATTGTCAATTGCATGCATGAAGACAGGAATACATAGAAATCCTAGCTCTAAAAAAGAGTCTTAGTGCCCAAATGAGATACAGAGAGCAAGGTCCATGGAGCAGAAGTAGGGAGACTTCTGGGACAAGAGGAGTTTGAACAAGAGGAAAAGGCTGCACTTTGATCTTAATGAAGTGAGGCTTTTGGCCCTAAAAATTCAAAGGCTCCCAAAGTAATATTGAAAGTAGAAGCTGGGAGAAAGCAAACAGGCACAGATGAACATGTAGTGTAGATGATGTGATGTTAAAAAGTGGATACATCTAGGGTTCAATGCCTCTTGTGAAATACCAGAAAGGAAATGAAAATAAGAATTGCAATAAGTAAGGACAGCAAGTTAGACCACCAATGCCAGTTCATTTTCACATGCAAAATTAAATGTTGGTGTCAGGGCAAAACTGGCACATCCTTGCATGGAGCCTGGGGAAATAAGTTAGGGATGCTGAAATGGTTACCTTCACAGAACAATGGCCACCTCAGCAGCTGGGATATGGACGATCAATGGTATTCAGTGTTACCTTGCTGACAGTTTTCATGGCAAGGAAGGAGTGAGTGCCCTCCCTCCCCTCTGCAAAGCTGTGGCCAATGCCATCCTATCTCCCCCAGTACCAGCAGAATACTCCCCATATCCACTGAGTGCTGTTCTGCCCCTACAGGAGCGCTGCCTGGGCCTTCAGGGCCCATTCCCCGGGCACAGCTCCCGTGATGCCAGCTGGTGCCTGTGCCCAGCAGGTGGAGAAGGGATGAGTGCCAGTGACCCCAGTGTCCACAGTTCCAGCAAGCATCTCCTTCTCTGAGCAGGTCTGGGGGCTTCCTGTGATGCAGGGTGGTAGCCAGTGCCTCCCTTGTGCAGCATTCCCCATGCCCAGGAGGCCCAGAGGGCTGTCTCTGGCCCTGGTGCCTACTGCACACAGATGAAGCCAGCTGGGAATGGTGGTGGGATGAAGTTACTGAAAGGCTTCAAAAACCTCCCACACACCCACCTCTAGTGAGTCAATTGACAAATGTGGGAAATTAAAATATTCACATAAAAGATTGGGGCCAGCAGCAGCAGGCAGTGATTGCCCCCCTATGCTCAGCACTGGTGAGACCACAATCGAGTCCTGTGTTCAGCTGTGGGCCTGTTACCAAAAGTCAGTAAATATAACAACTCCTTAACACTAACGTAGCATTAAGAAGGCAGCATTCTTTATTGAGCTGGATGCATGAGGGGATAGCTTCTCCAAAATCTCATTCATGCTGAGTACAGAGCTCTAGTTTATGCACTGTATTTTACATACACATTGATAGGATTTCCTAGAAGAAACATATATATGAGAATCATTTCTCTGAAGTCATTAACATATGTTCCCTCCCCTCTCTCCATGTGTTCTTCTGTCTTGGGGGTCTCTTTGGTGATCCCTGGTGGTGAGGGACTCCAAAGTCATTGCTGACAGCCTTGTGAACTAGCAAAAGTTGGCACAACTGGGCTGGTTGCTTTCCAATTCTTCTTCCTACAGAATAAGCATTGTGCAGTTCCACAGGTCAATGGTTTTTGAAGAATAAGCATTGTATTAACCCACCCACTGTGCAAACAATTCCTCATCTGGCAACAGGCCCCTCTCTGCAAGAAGAATACAACAGAGCTGATGAAGGGCCTGGAGCTCAAGTGCCCTGAGGAGCTGGGTTGTTTAGTGTCAAGAAAAGGACATTCGGGGGACTTACCACTCTCCACACCTGCCCAAAAGCAGGTTGTAGACAGGCAGGGGTTGGTCTCTTTCTCCCAGGTAGCAAATGTCAGGACAAGAGGACAGCCTCAAGCTGTGCTGGGGAGGTTTATGTTGGACATTAGAAAGAATTTCTTCACAGAAGAGCTGCCCAAGGGGGTGGTAAAGTCAGTGTCCCTGGCGTTGTTTAAGGAAAGACTGGATGTGGCACTCAGTGCTATGTTTTGGTTTACATGGTGGGATTCGTGGGGTCGGCCTCGGTGATCTCAGAGATCTTTTCCAACCTGCCTTCTTCCGTGATGCTGTAGGAGCTGAGCCATCACAGCGCACACTACACAGTCCGCGGTCCTGGCGCGGAGGCACAGCGGTACCGGCGGCGGCCCCGCCGGAGCTGCTCGGCTGGGCCGGCAGGACGAGAAGGAAGGGGGAAAAGGGGGGATTTCCTTCAAGTCTCGTCTCTACGTGGAGGCAGCGCAGAGCGCGATTCCCGGAACACGTCTGCACTGCGAAGGGAGCGCGGGTGGCGCTGCGCGGGGCGCGGCTGCCGGCCCGGCCCTTCCCGGGTGGGCGGTGCTGCGGGCGGGCGGAGCGGGGCGGAGCGGCTGCCGGCCCGGCCCTTCCCGTGTGGGCGGTGCTGCGGGCGGCGGGGCTGCCTGCCCGGCCCTTCCCGTGTGGCGGCGGCCATTGGCCAGGGCCGGTTCCGACATGGCGGCCAGCGCGGTGTCCAACCCGTCCCAGCTCCTGCCGCTCGGTAACGATGGGGGATTCCCGAGATTCCCAGTCAGGGCCCAGGGCGGGGTCCCTGTCCGGGGGGTCGGGGCGGCTGCGGGCCCCTCCAGGGGCCGAGCTGCGCCGGCGCGTGGCGGGAAGCGGGAGGGCGGGAGCGCCAGGCGGCGGGCCCCGCGCACGGCCCGCGAGGATATCGGGGTCTGGGGCCAGTGGAAAGGGGAGTGTGAGAAGGGGATAGGTGTGGCGGTGTTGGGGTCTGGGGGATGAGGTGTGGGGCTGTTGCACTGTCTGAGGGAGGCCGGTGGTAGTGGGGATGGATGTAAGGATGTCGGGGGGGGTGTGCTGGTTTGTGTGGGAGAGTGGAGGGGGGATGTGTAAGGTTGTGTGGAATGTGTCTCTGTTTGTGTAAGTAAACACAAAAAAACCCAAAAGGCACGAAACCCTTGCTTTGTAGAACGTATGCTTTTCTGTTTATCTACAGAACTTGTGGACAAGTGCATTGGTTCACGTATTCACATCGTGATGAAGAGTGACAAAGAGATTGTTGGGACACTTCTAGGATTTGATGACTTTGTCAGTATCCTTTGATGGACGTCTAAGGCTACCTGCTTTATGCTCTGGCCTAAGTAATTTGTAGCTCTTGAGAGTTTTGGGTTCACTGAATAGAACTTTTTTTTATGGATCGGTTGTATTCTGATATTTTCAACCTTCAGGTAAAATCACATTTTGGCATAAAATGAAAATAGCATTAAATAGTCTAGTTGTAAAATCTGGGCCTTATTTTCCTTGAAACTAGATTTTCAGATATGGTACTGGAAGATGTTACGGAATTGTAAGTATGTTTTCTGCCTCTTGTTGGTATTTATTGTTTGGGTCACTTAGACAAAGTACTGTGTAAGATCTGCAAAAAAAGTGGTTTTACATCTATGGGATACTTACCAGCTGAGTAGTTTAACAATGGACTTAAAACAATAGAAAGTGATCTGTTCAGGACAGCCATGTCATAGAGTAGCTATTGTGTGGTTTATACTTGTATGGGGATCCTATTTGTAGTCTTAATTTTGCACGGGTTGTGTGGGAAACTTTCCAGTAGTTAATTTCTTTTTACACTTCTTTAAGACCTAGGCTAAGATTCAACAAGGTAGCAAACTTAAATATTTTTACTTTGTCATAACATGTTGATATATCATATTCAAGAAATTGTTAAGCTTTAGAGGGTGAATACACATCTCCATGTACTGAATAGAAGAGACCTTTTCAGTTAGCTTTCTGTACCTAGGTGCTCCATTTATCCATGTTATGCTGCCATGTAGCTGATTTATTTGTTATTTCCAGCAATGGCCACCTTAATGCAGAGATTTCTGTCCATTCTGTGGTCAAATCTGGAGCCATTGTCCCTGGTTCTGTGTTCTTACTTACTGTTTCTAATGCTCCTTCAGTGAGATCACACCTGAGGGCAGAAGAATCACAAAGCTGGACCAGATTCTGCTCAATGGAAATAACATAACTATGGTGAGTCATGCATGTATTGACTTTCTGTGCCTGTAAATCGATCAGTGATTGTATTCAACTCCTTTAAGCCGAGTTTTCCTGACAGTTCCACTACATCAGGAAGTTTCAAGTAGCTTGCCTGCATAGCTGGCCACAAAGCCTGGACTTCCAGTACAAGGGCATTCCTAATTTTGTGGGAAGAGGAAGGCTGAAGTGGAAAGATCTGAGTCTAATTTGGCTCTTTATGAATGAGGAATAGTCTCCATTGTGTTGTTTTACCTATCTTGTATCTCTGCATTGTGTGTCAGAGCAGGTGCCATTCTGTGTTAATTTCTAAGCCTTTTTTCTGCTTTGGTTATTGTTCTGCATGTTGAAAGGACAGCATATGTTCTGACTCCTTGTATGGGGTGAAATTTCTACCATCCAGTTAGGCTGGGCATGTGTTGCCCTTGAAGAAGAACCTGGTGAATTTTCAGCAAGACATAGATACATTTCTGCATTAGATCTCGTGTGTCTTTTGGTAATGTATCTTCCCATATCAGGAAGTCCATGATTTAGACTTTTTCTTATTTTGATCCCAAAACCAGTGAAGCTCTTTCTCTTTAGAAGTGCTTAGCTGATAATGAAAAAGATACCAGTAAAAGTAGTGGTTAATCCTTTTTTTTCCCCTCATGTTTTACCTTTTGTATTTCTTTTTCTGTTCTTCAGTTCTTTGCTTTCTTCACAAGGAGGTGCTATGCTGATTTACTCTCTGCTGCCTTTTTGGTTTGTGTGTCTCTGGCAATAACTGACTTTATCTGTTGGGAGAGTCTGAAAGCCACTTTTGTGGTCTAGCATGAAGTCTCCATGTCCTAAAATGTTTGTTGTAAAGTAAGAGCTGTTGTGTATGGGTTTGTAAAGCTTAACTCTATGGAACTAATGCAAAAATGTCTTACTCTTTTATAGCTGGTTCCTGGGGGAGAAGGACCTGAAGTATGAAGACATGATATTCATAAGTACTTTTTATATATATATATGCAAAATCTAAATAGAGATTTTGGGGTAGAAATGTTTGGGTATGGATCGTTTGCTTTGCTTACACAATTGACATTGTACAAAAGACAACTCTTAAGGAAGAGTGCTGGTGGTAATGTTGATTTTGTAAATTGAAATCATGACTTTCTTGTAAAGACACCTGAACCTCTTCTGAATAAAAGGCTTTTTCTTCGTTGGTTGCTGTGTTCTGTTATGTGAGTGCACAAGTTTGATAATTGTATAACTACTTAATGGAGTAGAAAAATGACAATTGTGTTTCGGTTCCCATCAGTCATCATTTTTTCTACATCTGTTGCATTTGTTTCTGGCCCAAGTTTGTATAATACACAAGTCATGAGCCAGGATGTTGCTGTGGTTTGGCATACACACAGATACTGAGCTGGATGTTTTGTTCGAAGTCTGTGACTGGAAACCATGTGGCAGAGTTCTGTAGAATTCTGAAAGCCCTTCAGACTGGGTGCATCTGTTTGATGCTCAGCAGCCTTTGGTTCTTCTGGCCTTGAGGTTCAGCTCTTGTTGACCATTTTGTCAGCTGATATCCTTCCTTACAGCACAGCCCCTGCAATGGCATTTGGCAAGTCAGAACAGACAGACCTGACTTGTTTCATGTTCTGGGGTTAAAAATCCCCAAGGCTGGTGTTAAAATTTCTCACTGGTGTCAGTGGTGACTCTGCTTTCACCAGGTGCCTGTGGCTGCTTGCATAGTTTGGAACACTCATTTTAGAGTAAACAGGAGTCTTGTGTCTCCATCTGTTCTCTTGTGATATAAAAGTGTGACAGTATTGCAAGCTACTATTTTAGGATAATTTCTGTAAGTAATTGCTGTTTTGTTATGATGCCATGCTCCCAGTGTAGCTTATGCTTCCGTAGTACACCTCTCAGCTGGCTTCTATATGTAAATGTCTTTGGAGAGGAATCACAGGTGCCTGCTGTCACTGTAGACAAGGTGGATGCAGCATGGGCTTATGTGGACAGGACGTGCTTTTTCTTCCCATGACCAGAAGTGAGAAGAGTTGAAGAAGGGGGCTCAAGAGCAAGATTCTGCAAGGAAGCTGCTGTACTAAATCTTTCTGCCTTAATCTGACAGAAAAGCTGCCTTCTGCTAGCTGGGTGTGAGCTCAGAAAGCAGTGACAATCTCTTGCTGTAGCCTGTTAAAAGGGAGAGGGAGTCCCTGCTCTCTCACAGGGAGAGTGCGGCTTCTGGCTCACGTGTTCTGAATAAGTGATCTGTGTTTGGATTGTGTCCTGGCAATCTATACCATTACTCCCTGAATGTGTTTGCTTTTTTCCTTTCTGTCTCCATTTCTTCCTCCAGCTTTTTTAAATACATGCATTAAAAAAAGATACTTCTTTTTTAAACTTAGATTTGATTGAAGCATCATCTGTGGGTGTTTGTCTCAAACACTTTCCTTGAAATAAGAAATGAGAACACTTCAAAGATTTCTAGTCAGATCAGAACTACTGTGTTGGGCTATAGTTGAATAAAATTTTGGTTTTATTCCAGTTTTCCAGTTTGCACTTGATTTCTACTTCACTCAGTGTTTTGAAAACAGTCATGTTGCTGAGAGAAGAAGAGTAGATCTTGACTCAAAAGCAGCTTTTACTCTGACAGCACAAACATCTTGTTTGTTGCCTTGAAAAAACCCAAACAACTTGACACTGCCTCAGTTTTTGCTTGATTAGCTGTGTTCTACTCACTCCAGAGGAGTGCTTAGACTTTCAGAAGACGTTTTAATTCCTGACTCAGGTCCGCAGAGATCCTCCTAAAGACGGTTTGTGCATGCAAAACACTGTTAGTCCTTTCTAAGATGAAACATTTTTCCACTGTCAGCTGAGAATACAAAGTATTCCAGGTGCATCTAGTTTGCTTTGCATTCATTATTCCTGTAGCCTGTTGCTTTGGAAGTGGAGCTAATAAGCTTGTCCAGTCAGTAAGTAAGTAGTGGTGGTTTTTGTTCTTCCTCCCCTAGAAATCCAAGCACTTAATTATACTGCACTGCCTTCTTGTTGACACTGATCTTCTCCAGAATACTATTCAGGGTGCCACCACATGTAGGTAATTTAAAATAATAACCTTAGACTTTAAAAAGATGGAAAACTGAATGAGGCTTTAAGTTTAGGGAAAGATAATTGTCAGGTTAAATAACTTTGTGGTTATGACATGCACAGTAGTGATTCTCTTCAGATTTATGTTTGCGTTGCTTTCTGTTTTTCTTAAGGATAGCACTGGTTGCAGTGATCTTTAGTTCTACTACCTGGCTGTCTTAGCATG